ATCTGTCACCTTTCCTTACAATCTCAATTGCTATTAAGTTTGCGTGTGATTCATTAATATTTTCTAATTTATCAATTCGATTTGAAAGATTTATAATTGCAGTAAGATCCATTCGTGCATTCTCTTCTTCCACATTATCCATAAGGTTTTTATAAACTACGTCTTTGATATCTTCGAGTTCGATAGCATTTTCTTGCTTTTCAAGAATGTTATTCATATTCTGCTCTTGACGTTTCCGTTTTTTGCCGTTATTTATACGGGTTAAGTATTCGATACATGTTTCTTTATTGGTTTCAAATTCATTAATTCGTTTTACTATTCTACAGGATGACCATTTTTTGAATTCGATTGGGTTGAATAATCAGATTCCATTAATTAGATTTTATGAAATATTTGGTAAGAAAAAGTTTTAAACGACACTTGTTATTAAGCTACAATATAAACAAACATCGTCATCATTAACTAATTATTAACAATGACCGATACATTGTATCATTAAAATTTCGGTGGGTAATTAATTCCAACTCCGTACGTAACTGATCGTGGTGGTTATGCTAGGTTCGTGAAGTTTTTTGCCTATTCAATATTTTTAAAGTGTTAAGACACATGGCAATATTGATATAAGCGATTTTCTAATTAATAAGATTTTTTTCTCTAATAAAGTTCTAATACCTTAAACTGGTGATTAGACCTGGGTATTTACAATGACTAGATGTGTACTCGAGTATTTTTATTATTTTACCTCGATAATCTACAAAGATTTCTACCTATAAGGCATTTCCCATGACATAATGATTTGGGTGGAAGCTATTGTTGCAAACACTTTTGCTTTATATATTGTTTGGTGATAACGAATACTTTTTCACACATAATTTTAATAGAATTTAAATGCGGTGAATTTGTTTAGCTTTAAAGAAAAATTTTTTAATCACATTCAATTCGATACTACAGTACAAAGTATTTCTAAAATCTCTATCTTGAATTCGTTCGTTCAGTTATTCCTTAATAAAACGACATTTAGTAAGAATTACATGCAAATTATTTTCATTGATTATGATAATCGTTAATCGAGTTAATTCTAAACCAATATATGAAATTTGACTTCAACGTACAAAATATATATCAAATTCTGTATCTAATAACCACGATACAATTATGGTTTTAATAAAATTGGTTCTATTTATTAATATAGTTAGCTTAGCAACTAGAAACTCATTAAGAACCACTTATGCTAATATTGCTGCTTCTCGACATTTTGGAAATGAAGATAGATATCTTCATTTTCCTCCTATCGAAAGAAATGAAAATTTCTAGTTTTATACTTTTTATTAGTAGGACCTGACTATTACAGACCGAAGACTAAAGTAATTCGGTCCTTGGTTTGTTTGTCCCAGTCTCAATCTTTTCGAACTAACTAATGATTTACTGCTGAATTGTTAATAAATAGGAGCCGGCCAAGGAAAAGATCTTAAATTTATAATTTACTGGACGCAATCAGTGTTGGAAATCTGGTTTGAAATTTATGTTCTTATGAGAACAAATTTATTTAAGTTAATAATGAATGTTTCTCAGAAATTTATTTATGTTCTCAACAGTAAGATTTATTTATATCTCTATATTTTTAAATTCTTGTTTCAGAAAATGTCGGATATTTATTCAAAATTTTTTTCCCAACCTTTCTCGTCCTTTATGTTCATTCATTTTTTTCGGATGGTTTCGGAACTTCGCTCGATTTATAATTTTATTTATCTAGCATTATGCTATTATACAGAGAACATATCTTTCGAGTATTATGTTATCAAAATTTTTTTCATGGAGAACATTTACAAAATATCAAATGTTCTCAAATCTAAAGGTATGAGAACATGCGGGCATAAGATTTCCAACACTGGACGTAATATTTAAAAAATTGTATCCGATAATTAATAAATTTGTGATTCCTATAATAGGTTTTCCCTGGCGGCACCATATAACTTTGTAATGATTTTTTTTAAAAAAGTGTAGGAACTCTTCTTAAGCCTTTTCAAAAAAAAAAAAAAAATTATCAGAGAATCCTGGTAAAAAAGTTAAGGCATGATCATAAAATATTTATTTATTTATTTTTTTTTTTGTAAAATTGATGGTATCATTGATACGTATATTAGTCTTAACATTTTGATCACGTTTTTGTACAACCAATCAAATGCGTTAAAATATACATTGACTTTCATTGGTTAGTAGATTGATATAAATTACGATCGCTAAGAAACATTGCCGAGTAGAAAAATTAAAAAAAAAAGGAAAAATTTACTGTAAAAATCTGCACAGGGACAAAAATTTTTCTTACTATTGATTAATCCATTTATTCGTTCTTTTTTATTCGCTTGCTAAAGAGCAAGAGAGTAGACTATACAAACGCTCTTATTTTAGTGATACGTTAGACGACAAAATATTATAGAAGTATCACAATTAGTATTGAAAGATAAATTGAATATTTTGTACTAGATTTTGAGTCGATTCATTCGCAAAACTCGTTCATAGAGATTTACACAGTGAAAACATTTTGCAAGAAACTTTGGATAATGCATATATCACTGATCTTTAACTTTCTAAAAAGTAAAGGAAGGAAAATTTGTGGAGTTCTGCTGTATATACACTTAAGATTTTGATAGGTCAACGGTATACTCAAGCATCAGATATTTGAGTTATCGCGACAGAGATGTCGACCGGACAAAGGGCATTTGACGGAATTCCGTTTAATGGTGATCTTGTATCAAAAATTATCGATTGATCAAGACCTAAATGTTTAGGACCAAATTAAATTAGCTATGAAATGTATGGATAAAATATCTTGATAAACGACCTACTGCAACGGAAAATTATTGAAATAATTATACGTTGGTTAAATGAGATTGATCAGGAGGTGATAATGAAATTAAAAATTAATTTCGGAAGCTAATAAGATTAAGCGGAACCGATTAGACAAATACTTAAAATTATCATGATAGAAATTGGTGCTACTAATGTTATGCATAAATTTAAAATGACTGTTTATTAAAATTGACACATGAATTTAAAATTTATGCCAAATAAAAAATGTACGTTGCATACAATGCAAGTTTAATAAAACATAATAAAACATTTTAAATATAATAATTTTTTTTAAAAGAAAGTTGGTTTTTTTTTATTTTTTTATTTACATTTTATCATTAACCTTGAAAAAACTATATAAATAACAGATAAAATGAAAGAATATAATGGATTATTCAGAATGCAATCATTGTCTGGCTGTTTTGCAAAACCGTCAAGTAAACTGAAAACCTAAACTTTAAATATTGGGTTCTTAGTTATGGTTGGAACTTCAAAGAATTATCCATTTAATAGACAAATAAACCGTGTTTAAACCTGTTTTTATAGCAAAAAAAAAAAATGCTTTGTGCTTTCTAATGTGGTCGAGTTCAATGAGGTTCAAACAAGCTCTTTGTTGTGCTAAAAAATTCTTTGGATTTGAAATTTCTTTACAAGCTTAATGTTTTTATTAAAGTATTTTGTTGATTATTAAATTAGGTTTTAACAGCGTAGTAAAGGTAAAAGTAAATGCAGTGATTAAATAAATTGAATGTAATAATAACAATAATAATAATAATGAATAATAGCTTTTTTTTTATATTATTATTGATCGGTAAAATTATACGGATTAGAATACAAGGTACTTCATTTTACAAACTTAAAGCTACGTACCTACATACGTCAATTTTTAAATTTTTAATTTACTGAACGCCTAACACGAGTACACATTTACACATACTGTACATTGATTAATAAGATCTGTAACCTTTTCGCCGGTCCACAAATATATGACAGTTTAAATTAGCTCGTTTTTGTATTCTGTTTTTGGAAAATTTTCAAGTTCGGCTCGGCCCGCAAAGATTCTATTGGTAAATATTAACGTTAAGTATTTACAATCATCTAATCTATAAATGGCAATGGAAAAGTGCACAAAATTTTATAAAATATTATTATTAATGTAAAATGCTTGCCAAATATTAAATATTTACAAAGCTACGTATGTACGTACCAGAGATGCCGAGAAACCATGTGGTGCTAAATAATCACAAGAAATAGCTAGTAATTTTTTTAAATCACATGCAATAAGTATAAGCTATAGTGTGCGATGGTTTAACATCACTTTGTTTTCTCGGCATCTCTAGTACGTACATACGTACAACTTTTTTTTCTATTATGTAATATACAATATTGCTTAACCAATAATGTACAGGTAAAAATTATGGATCAATACGATTCGATCAAAACCGGTTGTAATCCCGTTGAAAAAAAAAAATTGATTAGGTAAATATTGGGATCCTTGCTAATAAAATTTCCCAATTGAAAATGTAAAAGTAAAGATACGTGCCAGTATATTTCTAAAGATGGTCTATTCAAAGTAAATTATTCTTAATAAACGTAATTTTCTGTCAATACATGAATTCATAACCATATTAGAGAATTAGTACGTGAGTACATACCTCCAGAAAAAGGGATTGTCTAACCAAATGCAACGTAGGACTAATTCCGGAATAACTTAAAACTAAATTTTGAAAATTTTCTGGTTAATTATTGTAACAAATAAATGCATATGTACGTACGTTGAATAAAATTTTGCGCTAGCGTATAAAAGACATGATAGATTATATGTACTAAAAATCAGTACTTACTTTATTCTTCTTCATGACTTATAAAATGTTTGATTATAAACAATTTTACGTTCGATTAATTTACATTATTATATTCCTGTTTCTTACAGCCAAAAGTAACGATGCTGCTGAAAATTTATCCCCTGGTAATTGTGTGCAAACCTATGACAGTGGGACGGACTATTTTCCTTCCAAGGTTACAGGTAATAAGTTATTTGAGTCAATTATTAAATTAGGGATTTATTATTCATACCCCCCTATATATCAAAATTTTTTGAACTTTGAGCGATGTTATCTTGACAACCACTAAGTTAATTTTAATGAACCTTTTTTTATTTGAATTCTACGAATCTGTAGAATTCAATGAAAAAATTCATCGAATTTGGCTTGGTGAGTGTCGAGATATCTTCACTCAGAGTTTTAAAAAATCCAAAACGTCTATCAAAACAAGAGCTGTATCAAATTGTTATTAAACTTTGAGCAAAGATATCGCGACACCCACCAATCCAAATTCTATGAACTTTTTTTTTATTTAATTCTACGAATACGTAGAATTCAAATAATAAAAAAAACGCACATTGAATTTGGTTTAGTAAGCGTCGAGATATCTTCACTCAAAGGTTTAAAAATTCAAAACGTTTATCATGGTTAACATCAAAAAGAAGAGCTGTGCCAAACTTTTTTCTAAACTTTGAGTGAAGATATTCAGTGTGCATTTTTTTATTTGAATTCTACAGATTTGTAGAATTCAAATAAAAAAAAGTTCATTAAAATTAACTTAGTGGTTGTCAAGATAACATCGCTCAAAGTTTAAAAAATTTTCGATATACGGGGTAAAAATAACAAATCCCTTAAAATGACGAACTTGTTTCTAAACTTTATTTTCTTTTAATTAGTTACTACTGCTTCTTTATTCACCATAAAGTATAATAATAATTATAAACTTGTTATGAACACTGCCACCAAGGATACTTTTGCTCTTGTTCAATGTGGAACTCCTGTTCCAACTGGTTTACCTGCTGGCACAAAAGTCTTTAATATATCTCTCAATAATGTTGCTGTCATGGATACCTCTGTTGTACCTTATCTTGAGGTATGAAAATTACTCATTTTTTAATAAATATTCTAATGTTAACTAATTATAATTTTTTCTTAGGCTCTTGGTCTTAGATCCCATATTACCGCTTTGGGTTCTCCTTTTGTAACTTCACCTTGCCTTCAGGCCCTTAATTCTAATTTGACAATTATTTCCACTGACAACATGACACTTGAAATTCAGCAACTTTCAAAAGTTGATGCTTCATTTGATTCAATGTCAAATCTTTCTGATCCTAAATCAATTAGTATTTCTGCTGCTTCTGATCCTGGTCCACTTAATAGAGCTGAGTGGATAAAATTTTTTTCGGTTTTTTTTAATCTTGAAGATAGTGCTAATACTTTTTATAATCAAATAAGTGATAATTACAATTGTTTAAAAAAATTACCCTCTTCTAATAGTCATCCTTTAGTGGCTTGGGTTGCCTACAATGAACCTTCATCTTTTAATAATAATACTGCTTCTTGGACAATCAATGATGCTCCTTACAAAAAAATTTTTACTGAAGACGCTGGTGGCACTTATTTTAATTCTACTACTCTTTCTTATTCCACAAGCTCCTCCTTCCTTTCTGCTATTTCCAATGTTGATATTTTAATTGATGAAACTTTTGTTGCTCCCAATATTTCTGCCTTTTATACAAACTTTAATTTAAATTCTAATGATAATCAATATAAGTTTATTAAAAATAATGCTATTTATAGAGAAGATGGTTTATCTAATCCAAGTGATGGAAGAGATTGGTTTGAAAATGCTATTTTATTAGCTGATGATGTTTTGGAGGATATGATGAATGTAATTAATCCTAATTTACCTACAAAAGATTATAAGAGAGTTTGGTTAAGAAATATTGCAAAAGGTGAATCTATAAAAATTGAAAGTGCAAATGATTGTTCTGATGTATCAGCTGCTTTAACGGTATATTTATTATTATTATTTAACTTTCTTTTATTTTAATTATTTAAATTATTCTAATTATAATTTATCTATTTAATTTATTTAGGACAATGCTATTCAATGCTCTTCAATCAAACCAGCAACAACAAGTGCAGCTTCAAACAGCTCTCCTAATTCTTCCACCTTTTTATTATTATTTGCTAGTTTTATTTTTATCAAGTTAATTATCTAAATATCTTTTCATCTGTTTTTATAAATATTGTAAATCAATTTATAAAATAAATTGATTATATAAACCTAGGGCATTAATAATATTATTTAGTATAAAGGGTTAATGTGAATAAATATTTATAATAAAGTCTTATTTCAAATTAAGAATACAATTCTATATTATAAGAGCGTATCGTATGTCAAGCACCTGCATAAGTTACGTTCTTGATCTTTGTTATGCTCGATTTGGTTTATACCATACCACACTTTTATATTCAAATCAGTTTAAACCCTGGAAATAGCATGAAAATATGCGTGCATATGTATATACGTACAGTACGTACGTACTTGACGCGTACTTACTATACCATATTTGATATATACGTACGTACGTACGTGTATATGTAGTGATTCTGTACGTATATACGTACGTACGTAACTATAATTCAACCCTAGCCACATACTATATGTTACTGAATAACGGGTATAGCAAATATAGTTGTTAGACGAAACCTTGAGGTTTCGCGCTGACGAAATGCGAAACCTAGTTTCGTCTTTCGTCAACTAAAATCTCAAATGACGAAATGACGAAAGGTGACGAAACTGGCGAAAAGTGACGAAATTGACGAAAGGTGACGAAACTGATGAAAGTGCAAAGGGTACGAAACTAATAAAAGATGAGAAGCAGAAGCAAGTGTAAGTAAGTGCACCACTGGCTCCTACATTATGTTTATACTATATAAGACTAAAATTTAAACCACACAATTATATCAATTTTAATAAAAGTAATTTATCAATTAAGTAAATTAGCACAATTACTGTAAGATTATTCCACATATTTCTGTATATCGATATCCTATTGGCTAAATCAATAATTAATAAATTAGTACAGATAATAAAAATTAATAAGAGGTACGTACGTACATACGTTTTCGGATTTTCAATTATAAAATTTATGTAATTGGCTTTTCAAAACCTAATATACAAGCCGGGTCAAGCCAATAAACATAGATGCTAAGGGAAGTGTCATTTATCATCTGATCTTTTTAGCAGGGGAGTGGGTGTCAAAATATCATGTTAATAGATCACATGTATATATGTTTATATATACTCGTAATCATTTGGGGGAGGGGAGAAATTTTACTATTTACAAAAAATCAGCTGATAAATGACACTTCCCTAATGGCTTATTTGCTATTTATAATTTCTGTAATTGGCTTTTTAAAACCTAAATATACGTACGTACAAGTCAATAAACATCTTCAGTATTAAATATAAATAAAAAGCCTTATTAATGATTTATCGATTATTATTGATAGCTTCATCAAAACCAAAATTTCAGTAGTAATTTTTTAGCGAGAGAAGTAGGGATTCACTATTATCATAAAGTTTCAGCAATCCAGTTTTTTTTTTTTTTTTTTTAGCGGGAGCACAAGGGTTTTTTTAGCGGGAGCACTAGGGTTTCGTCATTTTGAATTTGGGCTTCGTCTTTCGTCAGCAGAATTTGAGGTTTCGTCATTTTGGGGCTTAGGTTTCGTCTTTCGTCACCAAGCAAAAAAGGTTTCGTCTAACAACTATAATAGCAAATAAGTTCTATAACAAAATTTTTTACGATAACGAAAAATAGAAATCATGATGATTTCAACACCGATACTAACTAACTTAACTACTGAATATTAAGCAAGTTCTGTAATATAATTTTTTTGCAGTAACTCAATTAAAATTATGATAATTCTAAGTGAATAATAAATTTTATAACTGAATTTTTTACGCAAGTTCTGTAATAATTTTTTACAGTAATATTACTAGAATAGCGAGTAAGTTTTGTAACTGAATTTCTTATAATAATTCCGATGCAAACTAATCACTTATTGTGTATCACTAAATTAACGAGTAAGTTCTATACTAATTTTTTTACAGTAATTCATTATAAAATTACGATAATTCTGATCCAAATTAACACAACCTTAACTACATACTGTGGTCACTGAATAGCAAGTAGGCTGTTACAACATTTTTTATGATAGTTCTAATACGAATTAACTCAATCTTAACTACATATTACATGTACTGGAATAGCAAGTAAGTTCTGTGGTAGTAAACTATATATTGTATATCACTGAAATAATGGGTAGGTTTTGTAAGTTTTATAATAAAGTTTTCTTTAACCACATATTGTAGTTACTAGAATAGCGAGTAAAAAAATTCTGTAAAAAATGGTTTGTAACAATTCTAATACAAACTACAGTAACTCAACTTCAATTACATACAGTGTGTTTCGGATAACAAGTAGTTTCAATAACTGAATTTTTTAAAGTAACTCATGATAAAAATCACGATAATTCTAATTGCAACCTAACTCAACTTCAACTATATACTGTATCACCGAAATAGTAAGTACAGAATTTTTTGTAATAATCTGATATAAACTACAATAACCTTAATTACATACTATGTATTACTGGAATAGTGCATAGGTTTGGTAACAGAATTTATTACAATAGCTTATAATAGAAACCACAGAAACTCCACTACGAACTAAATCAAATTAACTACTAATGTGGTTCCAGAATAGCAAGTTTGAAACAGAATTTTTTAAGTAACTTATGATAGAAATTATAATTATAATAATTCTGATACAAACTAACTCGACCTTAACTACATAGAAATTATGATAGTCCTAATGCAAACCAACTTAATCCTAATTACATACTGTAGTCGCTAGAATAGCAAGTAAGTTCTGTATCAGAATTTTTTACGATGACTTACAGTAGCAATCACAATAATACCAATGTAAACTAACTTAGCCATAATTATATACTTTGATCATATGACGTGAAGAGGTATCTATCTTTGGCCTTCCAAATGTCTGCATCTATAAGAAAGAGAAATAAACCAAAGCTTGCGAATATCTATTTAAACAAATTGATGGGCAGTTTGATTGTAATTTTGGCTTCATCTGTTAGTATTGATGACTTCATTGTTGATTGTTTGATCGTCGGTAGTTCGTCGGTAGTTTCGGTAGCTTTATTGCTGGTTCCACTGGTGGTAGTTTTCTTACTTGATTGGTGGTAGCGGCTTTGGAAATATGAATATTAATAGAAATATTAAATTATATAAATTCGTAGTTGATCGCGCTAACGAGAAAGTTATTCAAGAAAATATTCATGTCATTAAATTTGAATTCATTGAAGAAGCTCTTCATGCGGTTTACGAAGATTTGTGAATATAATTTGCGATGCCCAGCAAGACGGCTGATCCTTTACTCTACATCCTTTATAGCCGACTAACCGACTGACTACCTTAGCATAAAATCAGTTGATGCTATTGTATCCCTTAAGCATTTTGTTGATAATCGTCGATTAAGAAGATGCAATTAAGGTGAACGACACTGTACGAAATTATATGAACTTGAACGAATTCGAACTTGATTAAACTTGTGGAAAGGTCTATACTAACTACATCGGTCTTTTACAAAAAGAGAAAGGGGAAATTAAAAACGGGAAAATACAAATAAAAAAAAAAACAATAATATTAACAAACAAGAAAAGAAAGAAAAATTAGCGTGGGTTCCCGGGGCCCTTTTACACCGTCTTAAAATCCATTTAATCATCTATCAATTCTGACCATCTTAAAATCTACATTGCAATTGAATCTCTCGAGCGGTATGTAGGCAGTTTAAAAAATTGGGATAATTTATATATGGGCTAGGTGCTGAGAAAAGGGACGAAGCTGACAATTTTTTCAAAAGATGTTTATTTATATAAATCATTTAAAATAAGATTATGATCGTTTTTCACTTAAGACACAAAAGTAGCTGTGTTAATAAAATTTTGCATTAAAGTTTATATTTTCTTATGATCTATTATAAGATTTACAACATAAGAATCGATTTTCTGAAGTTTCGTCCCTTTTCTCAGCACCTAGCCCATATGATCGACAGCTTTTACAATCACATATTTAAAAAATATAGATTAACTACGAACAAGAATGGCAATTTACCTGTGAAAGTTACTATCTAGAAATAAGATAATCAACAATGTAACAATGTAACGATAACTCTGAAATGGAAAAGAATTCTTCATGCGACCAATTCATAAGGAGACCGAAAATCGGATTCCTTTATGAACTTGCAAAGCTGTAAATAATTAGAGAAATAATAAAGAATATAATAAATAGTAAATAAAATAATTCAAATATATTTTTATAGTAATCAGATAACAACGAATTGCTTATAAAAAAGAAGCATTATATAAAATAACTTTAACATTATCCAATTTACTTTAAAGGAAACATGTTTTTACAACCACATAATTATTACTATGAGAGTTGCATTTCTATAAATATATATAACAGATAACTAGTACTCACAATCCAAAAAAGTTTAACCATATATTTTTTGAAGAAATAAAATCAAAAGAGAAATTACATATATTAGTAACACTCCAAGAGCTGTGTATGGGAGATCTGGGTTTGGGACCACAGATCGTGGCTTGAGACCATAGATCTTGGCCCAGGACCATCGATATTGGTCTGAGACCGTAGAGCTTGGTCCAAGACCACCGATATCAGGTTGAGACCCAAGATTTTGGTCTCGGACCACTAGAATTTGAAAAGTATAAATACAACGAATAAACTAATAAACTTTTTTGCACCGACCAAATAACTAAATAAATAAATACATTCCTTAATAACCCATTATCATTAAATCCGAATCCTTTATAAACATTCATCTCGCATAACCTATGCTTGTAACCCTGAGCTAATTTGACCTCACGTTAGCCAAGCCTCTCCACGGTTACAACACTAGGGGTATGCTTTTAAGCAAAAAAACATGCACATTATTTAAGATTGATAACTTTGATATATATATTTATGGGAATGCATGGGCATGAAGAAGCGTGCCTCTAGCCCAAGACATGCCTTCTAGGCATACCCTTATGTAGAGATTGGAACCGGTTTTAATAATTCGGGTTTATCACATGAATTTTGTGATATTATAAAAATTTTAATTGGATAAATTTCTAAAATATCACAAAATTCACGTGATAAACCCGAATTATTAAAACCTGTAACAACACAAGCAAAATAACAGATATTAACGGTGTTATTACGGTATAAACATCTAGTAATATTAAACCAAAGATTACTACACATAGCAGCAAACACTTTAATATAATATAACATTATGTCAACAAAAAGAAACATTCCGGAAACCATAAGAAAAACAATTCATGTATAAAAGATAATACTGTCAAACTTCTCTATAATCACACTTTCCCTATAAAAAAAAATCTCTTGGAATTGTTCGGAAAATTCTGAAAATATTCGATTTTTGTTCGGAAAATCGACTCCTTTTGAACATTTAAAGGATGTTTATTGGATAAATGCGTTTTTTATACGTTTTTTATACGATAATTTTCAATTAAAATTTTTCTATTTTTTATATCCCGTACAAACATCGTTATGAAAACAGTACAAACATAAACCCTGTTCGGAAAATCCCGAACATTTTTTTGGACAATGCCTGCAATAACTGTATAAACGTCTTAAAAGATTGGGAAATGTTGTAGCCATGGGAGAGATTAGTTCAGGTTACAAGCATGGTATGAGTGTTTTTCAGGGATTCGGATTTAATATTAAGGAATGCATTTTGTTGGTAGGTAAAGTCAAAATACGTTATTACTTCATTTACTATGCAGCACACCAGATTGTTTCCAACTGCCTTTTCTAGCATTATTAGTTTGGCGTCATATTTGTACATTTTATATTGCCGTGGTATAAAACCAAAATCTTGGGTTTCGAACCAAGATCAGTGGTCTCATACCGAATCCGTGCTCTCGAACCACTATACGTAGTAGGGATGGGTTAGCTACGAATGGCTACGATTATTAATAGCCAATTTGCTAAATACTGAGATGATTTTTGTTCTTGAGCTTTTAATTAAAGTTGTTTAGAATTTAATTCTATTGATCCCATCTTAGAAAGAACGATACCTTCTCTGGAACTCGGAATTTTAAAATTTGTTAACGTCATAGCCGGCTATTAGTCGGCGGTTAGTAGCCGGATATGACGTTAACAAATCTTAAAATTATAAGCTCAAGAACAAAAATCATCTCAGTATTTAGCAAATTGGCTATTGATAATCGTAGCCGTTCGTAGGTGAACCAATCTATAATACGTAGTGCTTCATATTCACATTGTAGCTCTGAAATTTTGGATCTCCGGAAATAATAATTTTGGCCGCAGCCGAAGTTCACGTTAATGGCCGCAGTCTCTTTGTAGATCGATTACAAGGGTTTATTGATTAACGGGTTATAACACATTTAAGAACGTTCGGTGGTTTATTTATTTTATGGGTTATAACTAGTTAAAGGATTATAGTAATTATTTGAATTTTATGAGCGTTCGTTGTTATCTCTTTAGTATATCACGTTTATTGTATTATAAATAAAGGGCATTTTCGCCCAGCTAAAAAAGCATCGTTCAATCGATATAAATAAGTGTTCATTGAATTAACTATTGATTGAAAAATTTTCTAATTCCCTAACCCGATCCTATAATTAAAGTGGATCTTCATTGATTGTTTCTTCAATAAAACCTATATCGTTACACAGCCTGATTTTACCTTCATTTAGGTAGAATCTATTTCTTCGTTGGGCTAACTTACTCCATTGTCTCTGGATTGTTGTGTTGCATCTCTACGGGTTGTGGATACTTGATTTCCTTGTGGGTTTGTTCCGGGAGATTAGTCATTGATTTAACGTTGACTGTCACGTGATATTGTTCAAAGGACGACCGAAGCTTTAGAACCATTCCACCGCCCAAATCTAAATGCCTCTTTCAATACATTGTCTTGATTGTTGTTTTTGGTTGGGATTTTGTTAGTTTTAGGTTGGTTTTAGCCAGTCACTTTAGCCCCCATTTTCAGCCTAACAATATTCATATTCAACAAATATTCAAACAAACAATTAGGCAAGACCAATTTAATTCAGTGGTTTATGTTACATCCTACTCACAAAAAAAGAGGGGGGGAGGGGGCTAGAGGGAGTTTATTATAAATTTTTTCTCCGAAATAATCCATGACATTATAAAAATTTTCTGAAATTTTTCACGTATATAGTGAGGGAGAAGGCGAAAGAGGGGGGTAACGTAAACCACTGAATCAAATTGGTCTCGTCTTATCTGACAAATAATTCAAATAAACAAATCTTATTTGAATAAGCAAATTTATTTGAATACTGTATAGCCATGAAATAATACCCACCTGCGTGTTAATTAATTGATCTGCGCGTTATTTCGAGCATGCTCATGTGTGTTATTTCAAAATAAGGGTTGATTTTCCAGATCTAATATTTTTTAAAATAACACACATGTGCGCCTTATATGTAGTACTATCTAACCTACCAATAGCATTTCAAAAAACCTGATTAAATTTTTATTGTGCTAAGTTCAGTAGATTCTTATTGTATGTATATACGTATATACTTGTTTTATCAAGTTAAACCAGTTATACAATTCATCTAATTAATAAAACAAAGCTTTGAATGATTTTTGGTTTGGAATATAAATATCATATTTTACTGATAATAAGCACCCCTTAGAAGAATTTTCATAACCAAAATTCTCATGATCTAATGATTGGATCAGCATGATTTTGGTACCATTCGAATCACCTTAATAAGATGATTTGAATGGTACCAAAATCACACTGATTCAATCATTAGATCGCGAGAATTTTGGCTATGAAAATTCTTCTGAGGGGGTGCTTATTATCGGTAAAATACAGTAAACGTTGATTAAGAAAGCAAGTGATTCTAATTTTTTTTTTTTGATTTGCCGGGTTTTTCTGGACTTCTTTTTTTTTATTTTTTATTTTATTTTATTTCCCCTACAGTTTTTTGAATTACAAAGTTTATTATGAACATGAGTACTATAAATAATCCTAATCTTTTCTTATCAATTAAAAAAAAAAGAAAAAATTTATTTATTGCATGATGCGAAATATATTATTTATCACCCATATAATATAATACAATATGATCAGCAAATATTACTGAATTGTTTAATTGTGTAATACTGTATTGTGTCACACAGTGTATGACAATCATATTATATAATATAGCGTTATTTTAAACTAAGTATGAACATACATACATATGTAGTATATATATACAAACTATTGCTATTGTCAATAATTGATTTTAATGAACTTTTACATATACCACGTATAAAAACATTTTAACCTATAGATAGAACTACTATTCCTTTGTGATAGATGATATAGTTAGTATTTTATTATATGCAAGTTATGAATAAGTTGTATATCAAATTAAAATTTGCGTCAGGTCAAAAATAGATAGAATATCACTAACATCTACCATAAAAACCTCCCAATCCTAACCCTAACTCTCTTTTAACATATTATTTACTCTAACCTTAATGAAATCTAACTCTAACTCTCTTTTAATGCTTGACCCTAACCTTAATAAAACATAACTCTAACACCTTTTAATGTTGTATTTACTCTAATCCTAACCTTAACAAAACTCAGTATATAGCTTTTGACCTGATGCAATAGTTTAATTTGACGTACAACCAATATAAAATAACAATAAAAATGCAAAGATATGTTAGTGATATGTATTAATATAAGTGCCGCCGCCAAAAATATTATTCTGAGTTATCTCTGTAAAAATTGTGTTTTCAACTATAATAACACCCAAGTTGGATTTATGGATTTCTTTTAGCAGCAATTTGGCATTAAACGATATTAACTAAATTCGCTCTTCATACATAATGCTCTAAATGCTTAAATTGCAGAAATTAGTTTCTCTATCTAGCTCCAATAAATCAGTAATAATATCAATAATTCATGAATTACATATTTAGCAATGTGTATTTAAATACCGGTTACTACATACAAACTATTTCACTTATCAAATATTATTAATCTTTCTTACTAGAACGTCTAGGTGTATAATGCCTAGTCTTATTGCATAATCTACACTTATGTCTGCTAGTATTTTTACTACTACTACTTACTGCATTCTCAAGTTTTTCATAAATATTTTCTCTTTGAACAACATTACTACTTTTTACCTTTTTATTATAAGCCTCAATTCGTTTACCAGCAGGCCTACCTTTACTCTTATGTTTTGTTTGATATTTAATATTATCCACATTGTAAATGTGACAATCTGGCAATTTTATTACATTATATGAATTCATATCTTTATTAAGGATATTCTCTCTTTCTGATTGCGTCTCATTATTTAGCTTTGCCTCTTTTTCAGAAATATATACTAATATAATGTTATCTAAACCACTCTGATCATTGTCTTTCTGTAAATAGCTTAAAGCTTTTTTAAAATGCCCCATAAGTTGGCCATATTCTATTTTTTTTTGTAAATGTTAATGAGTCTGAACTTCTTGAATATTATCATAATGTCTAGGAGTAAATACAGTTTGCTAAAAGACATGGTCGACTTGGTTCAAATTTTTTGATAACGTTCCAATAAATGGCTCTTTAAAAATTGAATCAACAGAAGTTCAGACTTCATCTTGAAGCCATCTTGTTGGCATTTGTATTGGGTGAAACAAAGCATTTTGACTTTCAATCATTAACTTGAAATAATGGCGACAAACAATCCCATTAGAAACTAATAATAAATATGTACATAAGTGAGTTCCATCGTTAAAAATTATAATATACTGATATGAACTTGGTATCATATAAGGAACAATTCGCTATATTTCTTTAACTGAATTTCTCTCAACTGAATTTAATAGCGATTTTAAATATATTTGCCGATAATCGTAGTGGTCTTCAATATACTCGATATCTTCTGAATTATCAATTGGAGTCAGATTTTCATAGGATTCATTTTGATTCTAAAATAAATTAAAAATATTAATCATAGCTAACTAATTTCATAACTACCAATTAGTATTTACTAACTGATCATCAGTAAATTTAAAAGCTTCTTCAACAAGTAACTTCTCGCACTTATACAGCACTAATTCACACATTTGTTTGTAAATTTTGGCAATAATTCAGGTTAAAAAATATTTTTTTATTGTTGTATTAATTTTACTAAAAAATTATCCACGACAAATAGCTGATAATATGTTGGTAATTTGTATTTCCATGCTAAAAAATCTTTATTTGCAGCCTCTTTTTGCATTCGGGAATCCAAAGCTTCAACTACATCTAACATAGTTGAACTAGAAGAAACAGCTTGGTGTATAATCGCATTGATAGATTCAACATGTTGTGTTGACTGCATACCAGCTATAAAGATACGGCTTATATGTGCATGAGCCCAAGAATGCCATGTTGAATAAAGTGGATCTTGTAGATATTTATTAATACTAGGGTAAGTTTTCAATAGAGCTTGAAATCGTTGCTTAAAAACTTCTACACATAATGCATTATACATTTTCCAGAAATCACAAATAAATTGCTTGAAATTTGCAGTTCTAAGCTTGGCTTTGAGTTATTTTGGTAAATTTTGTGACATGTGCCATATGCAATGCACATGATAAGAATTTTTGTAAACAACCTTACATGCAGCTTCTATTGCCGAATCCATATCAGTCAATATAACTTTCGGTTCACAACCTGTAGCATCCAATGTTTGTTGTAAGATCCATTCGTAACTTTCCTGACTTTTATCATTTAAAAAGGCCTGAGCACCTAGCGTAACTTTCCATCATTATCAACAATTATAAACAGCGACAATAGATAATTATATTTGTTGGTTCAAGAAGTATTGTCATGAAGTATAACATCTGAATAACGTGACCATAGCTCAATCTGATTTGCAGTCATCCAAAATATACCGCATAATCTATCACTATCTGTGTTTATTAATGGTTATACAAACATTAATAGCTTTTCCTTTTGTTGATTAAGTAAAAATTTTAACAATTGAAATGCATCAGATCCTGTAATTTGTCTATCACGTTTAATTTTCTAAATAGTATTAGAAAGATCCTGAGTCAGAAAAAGCTAATCAGGAAACAGTAGTTGTAATAAATTTCTTATAGTGTGTGTATCACATCATCTATATACGACTGCACACTCAATTTTGGCTAATATTGGCTGATCAAATTTTCTGAATCTTGTGGTAAATTTTGCATTATTAACCAACAATTCATAGTTATGGTCTAATTGTACAAAAGTTACATGTACAAAACCACTATTGTTAGGTTTAGATAAATTAACATGCCACTTGCAATTCGTTTTTTTCAACCCTTTATTACGTTGCTGATCTATAAGTTTTGTCTTCTTGGGCTTATGAATTCTAGCATACTCACAAGAAAGTGTTCTTTTTTTTACAATTCGATTAGATAGATTAGAGTCTTTGTGATAACTAACTCGATATCGATTGATAGCAAATCCCCTTTGCTGACCATGCTCTTTAACATAATATTCAGCAATTAACCAAGAAGGAAAACGTGATCCAGTAACCAATTCTACTAGTTCAGTTAACAAGAGAAGTTCTGTAGAAGCAAGATTTTCTAATTCTGACCCAATTAACGAACCTATTAAAAGAGCAGCTTATCTTAATAACCCTAATTTTTTTTTTTTTTAACTTTGAAACCATCAAATTCCGAATCTAAAATGAAATCTACTTTGATTTAATGGTTCAAATTCATCTAATTCTATTAACAAACGTATGTAGTATATCAGTCTCTAGTTCTAATTCGAATGCAAAATTTAGGAAAAAGGCATTGAAAAACTGAATATACCTTGATCTGAAGTTTCAGGCCTATCTGGTTCCAACAATTCTGCCAATTGAATTAGAGAATTTTCAGTAGGTTCAAAAATTTCCAGTTTGAATCCAAAATAATCAAAAAACTAAATATACCTTGATCTGAAGTTTTAAACCCATCTGGCCCCATCAATTTTGCTGATTGAATTAAAGATTTTTTAGTAGGTTCAAAAATTTCCAGTTCTGAATTCAAAGTAAAACCTAAAGGTAGGTAGAATATGCTTTAAATAATCCGAGATAGTTCACAAAACCTAATTTAAACCTTTGAACCCACCTAGTTCTAAATCCGAAACAGTGCTTATAGGTAGAATATTTTTAAAGTATTCTGAGTATTCCGACTATTCTGACTATTACGACCCTAAATTATTAATTTCTTCATTTTGACTCCAAGTGTAATTGTTCTCTGTAAGAAAAAAATATGATTACCTATTGCTTTGCAAAAAAAAAAGACTAATTCTAATGGCCTAATTCTTCAATCCAAATTTCAGTTTGGAATAGTCTTTATTTTTATTTTTATTTTTTTTTATTACTTTGGCAAGTCTAGACATGACTTGGTCCAGCTATCTTTATAGTTGACCCTACGCTACTAGTGTCACAGGACCTCATAATCCCTATACGGGAATCATGTGTATCCACCTGGAATCCATTGCCCGCTATTTCTCCGGTTC